ATCAAAATGACTGTGCATGCCCAAGATATGGTTTGTATTCAGAACTATTGGAAAATAGAGTATCCCCAAAGCAAGGGGGAACTCATTTTTCAGGAAGATAAGTAAAAGGAAAGTGTTTAATAGGTGATGTGGAAGAATAATCTATACTGAAATGTAGCTACACTTGTGGCAATTCACCAAGATGCAGGAGAGCTTTGTGGTTAAAAGTATAGCAATTTTTTAGTGTGTGATTTTGGCTAAGTTGCTTAATGTAAGTCTCACTTTTCTCATATCTCTGAAGGATATTTAAACTAAACTCACTCAATTGTTTTAAGGTGATGATATAAGTGCCTGATATAATAGTCATAGATAACTATTATTATTAAAACTATTAGTATTATTACAAAACTCAAATTCACGCCAGCCCTCAAGGTTTTGCTACCCCTAATCTAATAGGCACTCTAGATTGTAAGAACAAATGTTAAAAGCAAATGATTAGGACATAGAATGATTAAAGGAGAGTGCAAATGCAGAGAAAAAATTCTAATACATTTTTGAATCAGTGTACCATGTTTATTAGTTTTTATCCTATAATTTTATCTCTGGGATCTTAATTTAAAAAGGAAATAATCTACTTTTGCTCTTGATTGATTTCATCCTGTTTACATGAGGCATATAAAGTAAAGACATAAGTTGCCATAAACTACCCACATTACTGTTTAGTCCCATTTTGTCTACTTCTTTTGCAGCTTCTACCTTTGTGTGGAACAAATATAAATTTGCTCAACTTGTTTTAAAAAAGCATTATGACTCTGAATCCTGAAAAATCTTTATTCTATAACATAACTTTAAAAAAAGGTAAAAACATCAACCAGAGTAAAATGTTAAAAACAAAAAATCATTAGTTTTCTAAAGAAAGTGAGTGGTAAGGTACTGTTACAAAAATGGAGAAACCACTGAAAACTAGTTTGGTTTAGGTTCACTTATTTTTGTCTCATTAACTTCAGCTTTTGCTCCATCCTCTGAAAATTAGTGACATTCTGAAATGGTAACAGTATTTGGAAGCTACAGTCTTAGAACACAACACCTGGGAGTGGTGGTTTTCTTGTGTTTCACTGTTTGAATCTTTCAGAAGAGAAGTGAAATTCTATAATCTGAGTTTCATTAATTTGTTTAATTTTAATTTTGTATTTTCATGTGTAATTTCTCCTATGTCAAGCTATATGCTAGTCCATTTGGAATGGATACTTTACAGATAGTTTCCCAGGCAGTATTTTCACAGAAAATAAATTAGAGGTAAAATCTAGAATCCTGGCTGCCTAACACTTAAGAATCATGATATCCTTAATTTGTTTTTTTTAGATGTTCCATATTTATTCGTTTATTATTGAATTAATGCACTTGCTTTAAAAAAAAGCAGTTTGACTATTTTTTAAATTAAAAATTAACTGTGGTTAGAAAAACCCCACAAGATTTACTATCTTAACCATATTTGAATGTACACTTCAGCAGTGTTAAGTATATATATAATATTGTGCAACAGTTTTGCAGAACCTTTCTTCTTGCAAAACTGAAACTCTATACCATTAAATAATAACTCCCTATTTTCTCCTCCTCTCCAGCCCTTGTTTAATTCCATTTTTAAGTGGGGTAAGCTTATGTTTTGTGATTACAGTTTGATGAGGGAGAGGTAATCTAGGTGGATTGCAAACTGTAGGGGTAATGGGCATTATGGACAAGTATGAGCAAGTAGCAGGAGTAAGTACCCATAGTCAGCATTTTTATTAAACTATAAGAATGGCACATCTGAAGTACCTGAAAGACAGGTATTACTCAGTTTTGATTAGTAAGATTTTAATTAAAATCAAATCCAGAAATAGATCAAGGGAGAAAACTTTGATAATGAAGGAAGATAATCTTTGAAATATGTTAGTAATTGTGAGAAGTTATGAAGTTATCTTCTGTTGAGATCTTTTAAAAAAAGGCAAATATTCACTTCAATATTGTGCTACTACCAGAATGACAAGGAAAAAGTTAAACAAGCCCTGAGCTAGTTCCTTTCCTAGACCTTCCAAAGCTTGGTTAAAAGTCAGGTTTCCATAATACAAGGCAAACTACAGAAGGATATGTAGATAGTGATATCTGAGAGCCTTTATTTGCGTAAATGAAAGTGCTTAAAAATGCTCAGGGTCCCGACTGAGAAATAAACATCATGGAAGAGTTTTAAGTGCCAGAGAGAGAGAGAGAGAGTAAGATCCTGATATCCTGGCATGGTTCTCCTCCATCCTCTTAAAAAATCAAAATGATGAGATGTCATCATATCGGCTACCTATCATTATCATCTTACCATGTATTAATGTGTTGGGTGAAATATGGTATGATAATGATGATGATGTTGACATAATGCTGGTGATGAGAATGGTGATTACTCAAACTCATAAATGATGTTCTTTTATCAGGTGTCATGCTTGGTATGTCCCAGAGTTTGTAAACTTAATGCCCAATGATACTCCCCAAGGCTTTGTAGGCTTACATTTATAGACCTCATGACCTAGAGTTGCTCAAGGTTTGGTATTGTTAATATGTTTTAGGTATGTTTTATATTAAATAGGTTTTTAAGTGTTACTCTGGGAAATTAATAATAATCATTTATAAATTTGTTTCCCTGGTAAAAGTGTATTTTGGGCCCAAATCAAATAATTAGAATTTATAAAAGAAATTACTCTTTTAACGTAGGAAATTGTTTTAATTTGTACTTGTAATTTTGCATCAGCATATAATAAAATATTTTAATTTGTCTTTGGAATGAAATCTGTAGCTTAATTTAAATAATGGAGAACAGTAGGGTAGCTGAAAAATTAACAATATTGCATATATTAGGTTCTTGATACATACTGGTTGAATTAATTAAACACAAAGTCATTTATATTTAGTTAGTTGACTTCGGAATATAACTTTTAAAGTTTCAATTGTATTTTATAATGACGTTTTTTTCTTATTAACGTTTTTAACATGAAGATTCATGACTCTCAACTTAGATGTTTTGCCTACTCTGGGTTTATTATAAGTGGTGGAGAAAGTTAGTTTAAAATTAAAACTAAATTGCCAGGCTCGGTGGCTCAGCCTGTAATCCTGCACCTTTGGGAGGCTGAGGTGAGTGGATTGCCTGAGCCTGAGGGTTCAAGACCCGCCTGGGCAACTTGGCAAAACCTCATCTCTACAATAAATCAAAAAATCAGCTGGGCGTGGTAGCGCGCCTGTAGTTCCAGCTACTTGGAAGGCTGAGGCGGAAGGATCGCCGAAGCCCAGCAGGTCGAGGCTGCGGTGGCCAGGAGCGGCCACTGCACTTCAGTCTGGGTGACAGAGTGAGACTCCAACTCAAAAAAAAGAAAAAAAAAATTAAAACTAAATTAAAAAAAATAATTCAAGCCGGGCTCGGTGGCTCAGCCTGTAATCCCGCGCTTTGGGAGGCTGAGGTGAGTGGATTGCCTGAACCCGCGGGTTCAAGACCTGCCTGGGCAACTTGGGGAGACCTCATCTCTACAGTAAATCAAAAAATCAGCCGGGCGTGGTAGCGCGCGCCTGCAGTTCCAGCTACTTGGAAGGCGGAGGCGGAAGGATCGCCGGAGCCCAGCAGGTCGAGGCTGCGGTGGCCGGGAGCGGCCACTGCACTCCAGTCTGGGTGGCAGAGTGAGAATCCAACTCAAAAAAAAAAAAAAAAAATCCAAAATATACGTCAAGTAATTTATAAATTATCTGGCCTAAGTACGGATAATTAAGTATTAGGTAGGAATGGGCTACTGGAAACCATGAAGAGGAATCAATAATTGTAGTGAACTATTTAACTAAATCTGGGTTTCTTCTGAGGGGTTTTTATTTGTTTTTAAGATTTTTTTCCTGTGGTGGTATATGTAGAGATAATTCTGTTATTAATTATAACACACTGGCAAGTAAAGGAAAATCATATGCGACATTTCTTTACATCTGTCACCTCATCATTTCCTGAATTGATCAGCTGATTTGGATTCTACACTTGAGTTCTTTTCCTTTTTCATATTTCCATCTGATTTTCTCCCACATGGCTGATGAGGACAGCCTTCCTGGTTGGAGGAAGACTTTCATAAGACAAAGACTAGGACCAGAACTAATTCGGTGAGCACACTCTGACCAGAACTGTCATCTACAACTTGGGGACATCAAACAATGTAGAAAGGTCCCAGAAAACAGTGGAAATAGCATCCAGTTAGAATCCTAGGGACTTTGCAGATAGACTAAAGGAAATTATAATACTTTCATCAATAATTACCAAAAAGGAAATGTTTTGTATGTGGCAGGTGCCTTATGCATCATTTTGCTTAATTCTCACTAAAGCTTATAAGGTAAGTCTTATGATCAATTCCACTTAAAAAAAACCACCAGATTTAGATGTTAAGTTATATTCCTCAAGCTTATGCAGATGGTAAAATAGACCTGAAATTCACTCAAAGATTGTCAGACTCCAATACAACTACATCACTTATTCACAAATATGTCAATTATTCTACTAATACTTGCCTCAGTGGTGGTGGGGATTGGAGACGTTGTTTTCATTTTTGGGTAACCATTTTACCCAGCTTTGCCAATTAGTTAAGTGTGATTTTAAAAAATAATTCTCCTTTGTTCTGTTTTCTTCCTGTTTTTCATCTCTGGCTCTTTTCTTCCCACTTATCATATCACTCTCAGATTAGAAGCCAAGGCCATGATTCTGTCCATTCTCTGCCCTCACCACAAACCCTGGATTCATTAGGACAGAGCAACCTGAAATATGGTGACCAGTCAGTTATACTGGCTATGTTCTTCAGCTCAGCCATCAGGACGAATTTAGATGATACACACTCAAGGATATCCATGAGTAATAACTATAAGCTTTGTCATAGATAACTGTATTGGGTGTGTTTAAATGTACAACTCTGTTTTTCTATTATTATGTGATATTTCATGTTGACTTGTCAAACTGAAAAATACCCATATTGATTTTGCAGAAAGCTTCACATGTGAGATAAATGCACTCAAAGATTCCTCACAAGTAGCTCTTTGGAGCTTCAGATGTGAAATGGATCATTCCTCAATCTGTAATAGACCCTTCTGTGAAGCTCTTCAATCAAACCAGAAAATTCAAGGTGAAATTGAGGGGAGGATTGGAAACCCCTACAAGGGGATTTGAGTGAACTCGCTGAGAAAGGAACCCGAGGTATTTGCCATGTGCTGCCTCTTTTTTCAGTTCTTTTCTTTAGGATAGGCAGGCTGTCAATCAACGTGTGACTTCACATGCTGCATGTGCATAATACCTGGGTACAACAAGACAAGCTATGGGGGGGTGTCACATTTACCTTTGATTTCTTTCCATTTATCTGACCTTCAGGTTATTTTTAAAGTAGCTGTTTTATACACATCTGTTATTAGATCTTTTTCTATTGAATTCTTAATTTTACCATTTTAATTGATAGAATTCTTTAGAATTCTTTAGAAGCATAACTATTTAAAACGGCATAAACATTGTTTTAAAAAAGTTAGTGACATATGATACTATCTTAGTTGGAACAAATTGACATGTTTTTTAAGTAATGTTCCTGGTAGGTGCATCTTATTTAGGAATTACTTTTGTAGATCATGTGATGACTTTTAATAAGTTTGTTTTTAGTAAAGCAATAAGACAGAGTTACCCCTAGTAAGGGAAAAATTATTCTTTTAAAATTAGTTTTTGGGACACAGTTTTAATTGAAGTAGTGCCACATTTTCAGTTGCACATGTCTAGGTTAATTAAAAAAAAAAACTCTAGAATTTTCAATGGCTATTTAGTTTGGAGGAGCAGTGAATCCTGATGCCAAACAAAATAATAAAAACTGTGCTTTGGAATTTATGCTCAAATATGGAGCATGTTTGACAATAGTTTTTATGCTCCCATAACTGTGTCATAGTTTTCCTAAGCCATGGAGACAGTGTTGTTTGTAAAGCTCGATTATTAGTATAATCTTAAGAGCATATTAATTGCCCGGGAGGTTTATATATTTGTTCTGCGCATGTGATTAAAGATCACGGCAGCTTATACAGCATAATTTTAGAGATGAAGAAAATGACTATTGTAATACTCGCTACTCTCAGTTTCCTCTACAGCAATGCCCTTACACCTTTCTTTTGCAGGCATTTTGTAGCATCCTAAACAGAAGGATATTGCAGGGAGCTGATTCTGCTTTGATCCTTGTGCTTGTTGTCAAAGCGCTTGGGATTGAAGAGACTGTTGGCTACAATTGACTGTGACAATTAGGAGATGATCAGAGCCCTAGAGTGGAGCACTTAAAGGGTAATTTACATGTCAGTTTGTCGAATAAAAAAAAAAGATATTCAGCTAAGATTTTTTTTCCCCCTCAGAGCCTTGTAAACCGCAATTTGTGCTCTGGTAAGAAAAACCTGGCAGAGGAGTTAGGATAGCCATTACCATTTGAAAAGAAGCAATCATAAGGCCGCTGCTGAGCCCTTTGTCCACTAAAAATGCTGATTTGCAGGCAGTGAGTGAAAAAGTGGAACCGTCACTAAATAAAACTGTGAGCTAGGTAACTACCCTCCACCCCAACCCTTGGTGGCTTTTTAGTGTTGGTTAAAGGTGTTTTTTTAAAAAAACTGTGTCATAAATCCTACATTTACTGTCATTATAACATTATGGTTATTGGTCATGAATATCTTTACCTAAAAAAAAAAAAAAATGATAAAAGGATGCATTGAGGAAGTGGTAGGTGAAATACAAGCCAACAGTCAATTTGAAAGGCTAAAGCTGACTATCAGTTGTTTCAGATTATTCTTTTTCCTTTTGTACACCCTTACAATTTTCCTCTTGTCATCCTTTGCACTATACTATTTTTCCTCTACCCCATGTCAGTGTATTCCTACATTTTTAAAAAAATTTATATTTATACTTCAATTTTAAAATGGGATCTGTATTTCTAACCTTCACGTGGATAGCCTATTTGGGCGTACTTAGCTAAAAATAATGTAGCATCGGTCCATAATTTACTATTCACATGGGATCATCTCTATTTTATTCTATTAGCTAAACTACACATACAAGTAAAAAAAAAAAAATAGCTAGAAACTAAAAGAAGATAATTGCCAGTAAATATATGGTGGTAGTAGTTACCATCATGCATTTAATTGTCAAATAGAATAAGGAATATTAGTTATTTCAAAAATCTTTTAGTCTTTTTTTTCCTGGAAATTATTACCACTCCCACTCCTACTGAGATATAGCTGTGAAGTTTTCACTTGTAAATTGTCTGAAAAAAATGGTTAATGTAGTAACACAATCATCTTGTGCAGAAATATCTAAATTTAGTATGTATTTAATTCAGGGATACGTATTAACTTGCAGTTGCAGATGTATTTTACATTCCATTTTTTGGATACTTGGCCATGGTGAAAGGTATTAGAGAGAGGCAGCATGTGGTTCAAGATGAGTTTATCTTTATCATTAAGAGGGAAGAACATCCATGGACTTTAAAAAGGCTCCAACTCTGAGTAGGTATCTGCCCACAGCTGCTCCCCCAGCTTCTTCACCTGGACACTGTTTGTCTGGGTTTTAAAGCTGTCCTTTCATTAAAGAATTTACTGTTTTATGTTTCCAAATAAGAGGGCTTTTATTTCTCTTAATTTGCTTCTAATATTTTACCTCCCCATTCCATCCCCCCCCCAAGGAATGTCTTGTGAAGGGAGTTGTATTCTACTTTTGGAGGTTTCTGAAAATTACAATAATCAGATTATGGAGATCAGTTGAAGGAAGATAGCAATTCATAGACCCAGATTGGTGTCTCCCTGGACTGCTTTGTAGGAAGGCCCTTCGCTTCTTTATAAAGTTAGTTTTTTTGTGTGTGCGTGCCTGCCTTGCAAAGAACACATAAGTAAGAATAAAATAAGAAAGACTAAGGTTACTAAGTGCAAAGAAGATAATGAGAGAGGGAGTCAAAGAAGGTCTGGGTTTCCTTGGCATGTGTCTGGAGGACACAGGCAGTGGTAAATCTGTATCAAAAATCAAGCACAGCAGGAGGTGTTCGTCTCCCAGGTAATGGGTAAATGATGAGCAGATGAGCCATCCTTCTATTGATTTAAGCGTTTTGTTCCAGCCAGTCACAATTAACTTTGATTTGTTTTTACTTTCCTCTTATAGGTTTGCATTTATAACACTCTTGGAACACTAATTGTATAAAATTCTGGTAACTGCACACTCTCTTTTTACAGGGGTAATGAGTGAATGAATGAAAAGCCAGGGATTATTTGCCATTCGAAGCGGGGATTGTCAGAACATTTCTACTTGACTGAAATTGTTTTGGAAGGTGAACTGGAACAAGAATCTTGCGACTAAAATGAAGTGACTCTGCATGTGGTTTTTGGATGTTTCTCTTCATCAGAGAATTTTGTGGAACTGTTCTGCGACTTACAAGTTGATTTCAATTTTATTTATAAGAGAATATTTAAGTGAGTAATAGGAAAACATTTTGAGGTATGCCTATTTGATTCAAGTAAATGGGAGTCTTTTGAAAATTCATTTGGAATGATTTGAAATGAGTTTTTCCTCTTACCATCACAGTAATTTTTCAACATACAAATTGTCAATGTTGTGACAAAATAAATTATTGAAATGCCCTGAATAGTTTTTAGAAACTTGCTTTAAAAATATGTAGATTGTTACAGTTAATATTCACATATCAATTTATTAATATTGCTGCTACTGAAAAGTCCTAGAACATTTAGCACAACATTCCAGAGCACTTACTGCCTTGTTTTAATGAGCAGTTATTTCTCTGTACTTGTTTTTATGATCAGCTATTTCTCTTTACTTGTTTGTTGCCCGATTTAGTAAATAAAGAATGCCTAGTTAAATCTGAATTCCAAATAACTTATGAGTACTTTTTTTAGTATAAGGATATCCAATACATTTTTTGCATTTTATCTGGCAACCCTAGGTGGTACTTTGGATAGAAGTTACAACCATGTGTTAAGTATTTACAAATAATTATTTATAAAAAATTTTAACTTTCACTGTCAGATTAGAAAGACCAACGAGCTTGCTCTCTTCAGTAGAAACTAAAGGCTCTTTAACTCCTTAATGCAGAGTTTAATTTCCCCCATCATGTTCCCAGGGCAAGTTGGGACTTGTCATTTCCCATACACATTGATATTAGCAGGACTAATATCATGGAAACTGCAGAAATGATTGCTGAGTCTGGCTTCCGTTGATCAGGCTTTGACTAGAATGTTTGGTGGTTGCAGGTACAGGGAACTGAACAATGCAATGCGGATGTATTTATTATATTTGTGAAGTCACATCTTTCCTTTTGTGGCAGTATTGTGATTACATAGGTAGCCAAGTATGAAACCCTAGTGATTACGATCCTGGTAAGAACTTCTGGGAAGGGAAAGATTCTATGTCCTTGCACTTTTATTTTGTTTTATTTAGTGGCCATGAAAGATGCTAAGCCAAAGGTTACAGAAAAACCAAATATCTGATTTATTTTGGGGGCCAGCATTCATTTTTGCTAGTATCATTTCTCACTGACTTGATGGTTTCCATGGCTTGTCAGAAGGACTATTTGTAGAAGATAAGTTTAGGGCCCTGTGCCCCATTCCCTAGACCCCCTTTGGATTTCAGCTGTAGCTTCAGTAGGAAGACTTGGCTGGGCTTGGGCTGCCCCTCTCCAGAACACTTTGTGACTCCTCCCAGTATCTGCCTCAAGAGCCATCTCCAGAGCTGCAGAAGCCTGAGCAATGTTTCTTTTTTCTTGGCATAGAGGAGGTGGTGGTGGGGGAATGAACACCTGCAACGGCAACCCTCAAATAATGGGAGACACGAGAGACTGTGAATAAATATTCCAGCCACTTATCTGGTGAACAGGCCGTTCCGAGAAGCACTCGGCATGCATCTCAGAGGTCTTATTTTCAGCAGCAGGGATCTTCGATACCCTTTTGAGACATTATTTGGCGTTTCCTCTAACCCTTCCTTATTCCTCCTATTCTCTCACTCCTATTACTAGGGGAAAACCAACACGCATCCAATTCCTTGCCTCAGGCTCTGCTCTTTGGAACCCCAATTAAGATACTCTTTTCTCCCTGGCACCACAGTTCACTTCTTGCC